GGGGGACACTTAAATTTTAATTCTCTTGATCTTATTCAAGTCGACCACATTTGTCATTAGTTCTTATCAGAGATGTAAAATTATTTCCCTCTTCAGAAAAAGAAATGAAGATTTAGAATTTGATAAAGAAAAGTATTTAATGGGTTGTTATTTAAATTTTGTATGAAAAAATTATATTTTCTTGTTTGATTATTTGTAGTTAGATTGGTGTACATTTTACGAAATTCCAAGTTGGAGAATAAAAGGAATACTAGATTAGGTTAATGTTGGATTGTCTTATTAACAAGTACTACACATATCAAATAGAAATAAAATTAATATTATCATGAACCAATGCGTAACGATGATTTGAACCTTGGCGACAAAGGTTAAAATATTTGACAGCAAAGCCACGTGTGTTACCCAAATCGTCTGAATGCGACCGCGTATAATTATTTATGTAACAGGAATGTTCAATTTATATACAAATACGTGGCTAGTAGCAAACCCACAATTTTCTGCTCAAACTTTTGTCAATAACATAAAGGTAAATCTTATATCAATTTCGAAGAATAGAAAGCGTGTTAGGAAAATGCTATTTGAGTTCCACAAGTATAATCTAATTAATTGACAAAAAAAGTTGCAATCTTGAAAAAAAGGTTTTGACAAGCAAATCCCAAAATGGAGAATAGTCTAATATTCGAAAACGACATGAAACACTCAGAAAACCATAAGAATTTGAGTTCCCTATTGTCTACGCTATCAGAGCCTTCGATTACTTACAAATTAGTTACGAGCAAAAGCAAATAGCTTAATTTTATTACATATCTTGTCAAAGAGCTAGCCTGGACACCCAAAAAAAAAAAAAAAAAAAAAAAAAAAAAAAAAAAATCGATCAAACCAATCAAATCGAACCGACTCGAACCAATGGTTCGTGTCAGTTTCTCATAGGTATTTGGTTTGATTTGATTTACAAATCATGGTAAATCAATTCGGTTATCATTTTTAGCCTCAAACCGCTGGTTAATCGAACCAACCCAACCCATTTAATATTTACCATTTTATGTAAAGAAAAATAAAAATCAAAAGATAAGTCATAATCTTTTAACATATTTCAATTCCTTCCAATCTATAATGTTGTTGATAACTAAAAACACTAAGAATTTCTTTTCATATGCTCATTATGTTATACTTAGCCATTTTTTCCTACTCGGGGCAATCAGGTTAAATAATGTATTAAATAAATAAATAAATAAATAAGTAAAATTATTAAGTTTTCAGTTGATCCATCTCTATTAACCTAATTTTATTTATTAGTCAATAATTTTTATTATATAAACTTATATTAGTTCTTTTAATCTAAGCAGGCACAAAACTTAGACATTTTTGAAATTTAAAAAAAAAAAAAATCATTTTGGACTAAAAGTTAAAACCCACTAACCGAATCAAATTGAGCCGATTTGGTTTGGTTCCATTTGATTTAAGAGTTAGAGTGGATTGATTTGATTGAGATTCATCAAAACCGACTAATTTGATTTTGGTTTCGAGTTGGAGTCGAAACCAACCCAAACCAAATCGTGCGCAAGCTTATCTAAGAGTGAATCAATGTACTAAACTAATAAACTAATAATAAATTATTTCATCACGAAAGTGTAGCTTCTCCCTCAATACTTTTCGACAATAATCTAAGGGTCTGTTTGATAGCATTGAATTCCATGAAAAATGTTGCATCTGAGGAATTCGTTTTCTACTTTGTTTGTTTGATATGAAAGTAGAAAAGGGGTTCAAATTTCAAGGTACAAACACTTAAAACATGTTTTTGACCAATTGAATGGAACTCAAATTCCTATAGTTTTGGTAGTTTTTTCTTTTTCAACTTACATGGAATTGATTTTGTCTTTTTCCACATTTACAATCAAATGGACCAGAAAAGCTTAAACTAGTGCATATATAATTTTTAGACATGGCCTTTAATACGTATATCTTGTTGAATAGCCATTAATCCTAGATAAGATCCACGCTTTGATTGTTGAATGACAATAGTCATTACAAACTCATTATTGTTTTCCATCCCTCTTATTTTTATAGATTATGTAGGTTTGAAGAAGGAAGAATGAAAATATAATATAATATCCACATTGAATAATATCGGCCCATGTACTCTTTTTTTTTTTTTTTCAATCACATACTCTTTCAATAAAATAATTTTAGACATGGACCACAAATTCTCCAAAAAAAAAAAAACACTTTTCACAAAATCTGGTACCATGTTACTGAACGGCCATATCCGAACTGGATCATACTGAATGGCTGTTACAAAGAGGTAATCAATCAGTAACAGTAAGTATCAGATTTCGGCAAAAAAGTCCATATATGGAATCCTCAGAAATGTTCTCCGTACTAAATAAGACAAAATGAAAGCCAGCCACTGGTGACAGGATAGCCTACTGTTACGGACTTCCTAATTTCCTTCAAGAACCGTGCGGCCTTAGTGTCTTCAACTTCCGCCCCCGCGGTTATTACACTAAGCCAGCCTCCCGATTGGCGTTGATGTTTTAGAAAGGCACTAAGTAGAACACTTTAAGAAAGGGACAATGAAGGAACACAAGAGCTTACAAAGAAGGCTTTGTATTGAATAAAGAATACTCTTTACAATTTCACTCTCTTGATCCTTCAAATGAATCCTACCAAGCTATTTATAGTGGTAGCCTCCTCAAATGGATGGCTAGGATCTTTTCTATCCAACGGTCTAGATTACACATCTAGAATTATCTATACAAATATCTACATTAAAATATCTA